GAATTAAGAAACGAAAGTCGAAAGTCGAAGCGAAAGGAATATCAATAGCTTTGTTCACACAGTACACAAGGTCAAATTTAGCCCTGATGGTCCTCACTGTCAAGAGGTGAACAGTGTAATCTATATCTGGCACGTCTACATGGGTTACTATCTACTCTACTTTATTTTGCAATGCGGAAGTAAGCTATTATCTGTGAATGTGTGTGAACTTCCGATTCAATAGCTGCTATAGGTAAATAACTGAATAACAAAATGCAGTAAATGGTCAAATAATCTGAGCTATAAACCCGTGTGTTTATGATTATGATAATAAATTAAAATAATATGATAACAAAGAACAGTTTGCAATATCAAGCAGCAGTTTTTGTACAGATACAATAACCAGAAGTGGATGAGACTGTAAGTCTCAACACATTCGAGTTACAAATGCTCTTTCGTTAATAATAAGGTGAACAGTATTGATGAAAGCTTCAGCACTTTGCCAAGAGACTTTCTCAGACGACAACCGAGAAGAGCTGTCAGTGTGAAAAACTGGAAATTTTGATTCTGTCTATCATGACACTCACCGCTGAACTTAGAAAAGGTGCTTTATACATTCATGCATATGCTGTCCAAAACTGCTGACTCATTCACTCATTCACTATTCACTACATAGTGAATGTCAACGTGGAAAGTGTGAGTAGAGAAAAATCGCATATTTCGAGATCACATTGCGAACATTGTATGAATGAAATATAAAATCCTACATGTTTTGTTGTTTTTGTCGGATACAACATTTTTTTGTTATTGGTAATTAAAACTGAAACTAAAACTATCATTTTTGGAAATAATTTTTTTTAAATATATATATTTGCTGAAAATTTTTTACCTAAAAAACGTATCTTACAAAATATCTTATGTTGCGAGTTTAAGTTAAATTACTAAAGTTACTAAAACAAAAGCTGAAATAAAAATTAAAGCTATATAGAAATATATTTTTAAATAATAAAAATGACGAAGGCACATTACAAAGTTACTAACTCAAATTAAAATAAAAAACCTACTAAAATAACTCAGATTTTTTCTGCCTGTCTGAGGTCAATAAAACCAGTTGTTCTTTTACTTTAATGTACTGTAACTTCCAGTTGAAACAAAACAACAACATCCAATTTGTAATTTAACAACATGTGTGGGGGGAAAACACACAGCAGATACAGGATCCTCTTACCTTGTTCTTGAGTTTCTGGATCTCAGCTTCAGTGACAGTGTGTTTAATCTGCAGCTGGAGAAACAAAGGGAGAAGAGAGAGTAGATGAAAGATGACTGGATGATCAGGGACAATCTTCCTCTCGAAGGGAACTGACCAGAGAGGCTCTCTCTCTCTCTCTCTCTCTCTCTCTCTCTCTCTCTCTCTCTCTCTCTCTCTCTCTCTCTCTCTCTCTCTCTCTCTCTCTCTCTCTCTCTCTGCGTGACTGACAACACTCTCTCTCTCTCTCTCTCTCTCTCTCTGTGCAAATGCAGACTCAAGAGAATGAACACGAGAGAGGGAGCAGGAAAAAAGACAACTGAGCAAGAAGGAGTGAGCTCTGGAATGCAATATTTATATAGAAAGGTTTTGGTCTCTCATCAGCACCAATTTATAAGAAAAGCAGTGAAGACAAAAGATAGTCCTAGTACAAACCAATACTGAAAAATAGCTTCATCAGATGAGTTGTTTTGACAAAATGAAAAGAATCAATGGAACATTTATTTTCTCCAGGTTGAACAAGATGTCAAAGCTCCTCGGTTTTCTTTTTTTCTATACTTATCCAGACCTGGATCAAGGTGAATAAGTTAAAATAATTCGGTTTTTCTTCTGAGAAATGTTGATATGTACATTACTGATTAAAAGTATTTTAGTTATTATTATAATATTGAGAAATATTATTACAATTTTAAATGACTGTAGTCTATTTTAATATATTTTGAAATGTAATTTATTCCTGTGATCAAAGCTGAATTTTCTGCATCATTACTCCAGTGTTCAGTGTCACATGATCCTTCAGAAATCATGCTAATATGCTGATTTGATACTCAAGAAACATTTCTGATTATTATCAATGTTGAAAACAATTGTGGTTCTTACTATTTATGTGGAAACCTTGATAATTATTTGATGAACATAAAGTTCAAAAGAACTGTATTTATTTTGTAACATTATAGATGTCTTTACCATCACTTTTGATCAATTTAATGCATCCTTGCTGAATAAAAGTAGTAATTTTTAAGTATTCAATCCCCAACTTTTAAACAGTATTGTATTTATGTAATTTAAACTATTATCTAACATAAAAATAAACTTGACATAAACTAGTTACATAACAAATGTCTTCTTTCATTTCACTTTTTATATTTATTGCTAAAAAACAAGACATTTATTATTTTAATCTGTGTTTAGACCATTTTAATCTGCATTTGCAAAAATAGCAAATCTATAAATAAATAAAACAGCTGAGTTCATATTTTGTTTGACCTTTTGATGTTTTCTAAAGAGTAAGTTCTTCATTTCATTGATCAGTTGTTAAAAAATGCATGCGTTCTTGGTTTACCTCTCGAAACTTCTGATAAAGTTTGGGGGCATCCAGTTCTGATGGCGAGATGATGTCCTCATTTTCGGGTAAATCGAAAACCTCAATGGCCACATCTCTGTCCTTTCCCGTCTGTCCCGCCTCCGCCTCCGCCTCCTCCTCCTCCTCCTCCTCCTCATCCGTGGCGTACTCCCCTGTCTGAGCACAGGCACATGGGAATAAACATTTCCTACAGCAATCCATGTGGAAGGTTCCTCTCTTACTTCGTTCATACACATTTTTCATTTTAAAATGCCATACTTTTATAGACTCAAATATCCAAATTCTTCAGACCATATTTAACATTGGTTCATAAAGCATTAATTTCAGCATTATATTTGGTATATACAGTCATCTGTAAATATTTGTGTTTTATTTCATTGGTTTACCTTGAAGTGATAGCATGCGCTTACATGATGAGAAGAAACTGAAAAGCTTTATAACCTGCATATATTCACCTCAGACACTTCGGTTTGATACTTTAAATGTGGTTTGATGTTGCACCATCGCCAAACACCAAAGTACAGACTGATTCAGATGATCGTTCGCTGTTATCTGTTGCTGGTTTGAGTGGCACACGCACATTTGTTTAGTGAAGTAAAAAAAAAAGAGACTCGCTTATAATAAAGACAAACAGTTTTACATAATGAAAATGTGCGCATTGAATTAACTCTTAATTCAGAATTAATTAAAGGGATAGTTCACTTTGGAATTCATTTTTGGTAAGCCCAAATTAGTACAATTTTAATTAGCCTTCTTACCTACAATCTCTGTTCTGTGTAAACAATGAGTGACGTACACGCGCAAGAGATCACTTCCGGCGCTTGCCGGAAAAGACCGAAGCGCCCGCGCCCTCAGATCACTTGGACGTGGCTGTGTTTACAAGAGGTAAAAACGATATAAATACTGTTCGTTTTCTCACACAAACCGCTCGTTTCGTGTCTTAGGCCATCAATGTGTACTTACATTTACGAGTCATTAAATCATGTTTAATTTGGACTTCTCTGTGCTGCTCTTTGAGGTGGTGACCATAGGCCTGCATTATATGACTGACAGACAAGAACAGTTTGACCTAAAAATATCAAAATTGAAACTACTGCGGCAACAAAGACACCTACATCTTGGATGCCCTTGAGGTAAGCTAAAACATACCAAAAATTCATTTCAAAGTGAACTATCCCTTTAAATCACTGCTTGTATGATACATTTATTTTTAGAAATTCTTAACTTTCTAGTTTAGAAAACTGAATAGGCGTAATAGTCTGGAAACACAAATATTTTCCACTTATCCAGACCTGGACATTACTCAAATCAAATTCCATACTTTTCCAAGTCGTGTAGGAATCCTGTTTAATAGTCTAAACAACTCCAGGATGCTGTATTTTTAAAATAACAATACAGATACTAAAGAACTTATGATACCCTAAAAATTGATTTTATATTAACTATGCTTAGCCAATGAAAACATGAACTTTACCTCAATGTGTGAGGTTCATTGGGTTGTGCTATTACTTTTCTAAGCGATTAATCTTGGCATACCACAAAAAATGAGAGAAAAATCCCACAAACTTCATTTTAAGGAGGAATCCAAACAACAATATCATACTCTTTTGACTTGAGCTAGTAAATAACCAACTAAAAGTTGGGATTTTTGAATGTTTTTGAAATATTACAGTTTAAAATAGCTGTTTCTATTTTAATATATTTTAAAATGTAATTTATTCCTGTAATCAAAGGTGAATTTTCACATGATCCTTCAGAAATCATTCTAATATACTGATTTGCTACTCAAGAAACATTTATTATCATTATCAATGTAAAACAACAACAACAACAACAGTTGTGCTAATTAATATTTTTGTTGAAACCATGACAATTTTTTTGATGAACAGAAAGTTCAAAAGAAGTCAAGTCAAGTCAAGTCACCTTTATTTATATAGCGCTTTTTACAATACAGATTGTATCAAAGCGCTTCACAGTGATAACATGAAAACTATATAACAAAGTTTGTTTCTAAAAGAAAATTGCGTCAACGTCCACCTTAAGTAAGGCAGGTCAATAATATTATTGAATATTAAATGCCCCCAACTAAGCAAGGCAACAGTGGCAAGGAACCAAAACTCCATCAGGTGACAGAATGGAGAAAAAAACCTTGGGAGAAACCAGACTCAGTCGGGGGGCCAGTTCTCTCTGGCCAGCATTTATTTGAAATAGAAATGCATTGACTGTCACCTTTGATCAATTCAATGTATCCTTGCTGAATAAATGTATTAATTTCTTAAAAAATAAATAAATAAATAAATAAAAAACTTACTGACCCCAAACATTTCAGAGTTTTGGTCTGTTGTCTTTTCAAAATAAAAACAAGTCATGCAGCATATATTTCTCCTGCTTGAGTCTGCCATAGTTATTTAAGGTGGAAGGATGTGCAAACACACACGGACAGGTCGGTTCTGCTCGACTGGGGCTTGTATCTGGTTGCAGGACAGGGCTGTTCCCCGGGAGGCCTCTTTTCCGCATCAAATTATCCTGCCTGGCAGGAGGCCATATGTAACCCTGCTCTACTGTACTGCTTTAACCTGAGTGATCTCATTTGTGTCTCATCTGTGTCTCTCGCTCTCATCGCCTCACATACATTATATGTTAATTGAGAGGACATGGAGAGCAGAACGCATATCATCCATATCATCAGCGTGATATTACCTCTCATATATATAGTCGAGAGGCAAATTAGCTCATTTTGGAGTGTCACATTCAATTAGTTTGTGTCACCGTTCTTTTAACACACCGGTGGTTGCCGTACTGCACACGTTTGAGGAAACTAATCGCAAGAAGGTCATATACAGAAAGTATCACTGTATTAGATGACAAAATATCAAAACAAGTGCCACTTTATTTATATTATAGTAAAATATGTCTATACTCATTTGTCTCAAATTAAAACTAACACAAAAACTTAAACAGTTACAAATGCTTCAAGTGAATTTAGAAACAGTAAGAAAATGGGTATTCATTTAAAGTTTTGGAAGATTACATTTTTAGTGATCTGTTGAACAGAAAACAAAGGTAATCTAAATGTAAAAACGAGGAATTAGCTTATATTTGGAATAAATATTTTATAATATATTAAAAACTGTATATATATATATACAGTATGTGTGTGTGTGTGTGTGACAGGCATTATAAATGATTGTTTGATATTGGATTTTTAATAAGTCGATGTTATAAATATGGATTCAATATCGACCGTTATGATAAATTAAAAAAGGCCAAATGCCAGCCAATAACCAATATAGAACTTATTAATTGTGCATCCTTAAACAATATAAACTCATGAACATGTACACGTTCATAGGTACTGTTATGGTTGTTTAATTGAAAAAAAAAAAAAAAGGTTACAAAAAGGTCTAGAATCATTTTGGTTTGATATTTAATGCTGTGAAATTCATATATTTATAAGTATGGCTGAGATGTCACTGTATGCCCTTTCCAACCCTACTAACCTTTCTTAGATGTCCTTATAACCACTATATCCTGCAGGACCCTGCTGTTTTAAGGCCATTTACCGCTGACAGGCAGCTTGTGAATGCTTTTGGCATCTGCTAATCCACAGCACAGCGAGTTTTCAGGCAGGTTCACACCACTCTGCCTCACTGAACACACCAGCCCTTAAACCTTCATTTTTGGAGGCCCCTCTTGCATGACACATTCAAACAGACATTCACTTGCTGACGCTCAAGCACAGAAGTTCGCAAGAACAAACACCCACCCACATGCAAACCCGCTAATCTTTAGCAAGGACTGCTACATTCATTACAATTCCTCACGGGCAGCTCGTCTGCGGGGAGAAGCTGCCTGTGCCAGAATTATAAAACAGTGCTGATCGCACAGCTATTTCAAGAGCGCAGCCTGCATCCGAGCCAGCAGAGGAGGAACACACAAAACCATGCGGGTGCACAAGAAGCATATCAGTTCAATTGAGAATGTGAGATTTTGATGCAATCTGAAGGAGAACTCATCATTCAAAAATGCTAATTTAGATTCGCACTGACAAATAATGAGAGGCATTAAAAATTCACTCTTGCATTAGCACATGTGAGTCTTGCATCATTCTGCGCTGCACAAGAGCCTATAATGCTAAATTGTCCGCGTCCTCCAAATCACAAGGTAGAAATTGCTTTGTCTGGTCTACTGATGTCATTTTCTCTGAATCGTAGCGGGCGATTAATTCAACTCTTTCTTAAGTCAGTCTTCAGAGCTTTCGTGTGAATCCCGCTGCCGTGACAGTAGCGCATGCATTATGGAAATGCACCTCGCTCGCTTTATCCTTCAAAAATAGATCGCAGCACAGGCACAGACGTGACAACAGACTTGTGGACCTTTTGACTGAAAAGCCAGGCCGCCCGCCCGATCCACTAATGAGAACTGAGCAATAACCTCAGTGACTAGTAATATAACAAACCCCATTAACTCTCCATGGAGCAGAAAGCCCCCGTGGGTGTTTTTCCATGAGAAGCCCTCACCGTCACCGACCTAAACACACTTTGTAACATTGCTGAAATCTTCAGAGGAGAGGCAGGAAAGTCCATTTGTGCGTCGTCTAGGGCAGAGGTGTTCAAATGCTTTTATGCCAATGACATCCGAATAATAAATATATGATAATAAATTTGCCAAAATAGGGGAACTGTATATTTTTATGTATTAAGATTCGTTTTTTACTGTATGAAAAAAAAAAAATCATTATCAATTTTTTTTTAAATTAAATAATTGTCTGTTTGTTGCACTAAAGCCAAAGAAATGTATTAAATATTTTCAGGAAAATATTCACTTTGTATTAAATTTTCAGTTTTTCTATTTTTTTCTACCTAAGGAAGGAGTTATGAACATTTAATAATAATAATCTCTCCTTCATTGGGCTAAAAAAAATCAATAGAATAAAATAATATCAATTAGCGATTAAAAGCATGTTAAAAACTGGAATGAAACGGGAATGTCATCAATTTGGTAAATGTTTAGTACATTTTTCGAAGAACCCCCGGTCTAGAAGGAACAATTGATATATTTGTGTTTTTTCCTTTCAACAGGAAGACTTAATTAGACGGAGCAATGAAATTATGTGTTTTGGCGGCACTCAAGATTTATTTACAATTATTTTGAGAAGCAATTATCTGTCCTGCTGCAAAGAAAGATATGGTCAAATGTAGGATATTGTAAGAGAGAAATAATACAATAGTTCTCTTGATTAAATAGAACTGTGCAATAGTATTAGTTTTAGGTTGTAGCTTGATTATATAGTTTTTGACCAGCAGAACTGTTTTCATTCTGCTGTGACAAATTGTAACAGGTTGAGGCTTGTAGCGTGGCCGAATCATGGATAATAGATTTGAACCTGCTCCAACTGGCTCTTGATGGTTGATTAACCTGTTCAGACAGATGCTGACATGCTCAGACCTGCTCTGTGCTCACCTCGTCGTCATCAGCGTCGTACTGGGCGTACTGTTGCTCCATCATCTCTCTCTGACGTCTCTCCTGCTCCAGAGTCTGACTGATGAGCTGAGCCACCTCGCTCTGCTGTCCCGGACGCTCTCGGCCAATCACAAACCTGCACAGACACACCAACTGCCAATGAGAAGGGAGGGGCTTTGTGATCAGATGCAAAGTGGTAAAGGCTATGGAGTTTTCCATTCATTTCTCCCAAAGGGATTTTTTAAAAAGTATTTGAAAATCGGACAAAAACACAAAGGTACAAGACTGTGTACTTAACGGCTTTAGTGAGGGAAAGAACTACAATCCCATGAAGCATTGCGAACAACAATCAAATTTAATTACTCATTTAAAAATGTTAATCATCTCTATAGAAACAATATATTTTAAGGTCATTGCAAAATATGCATATTTATACAAATATTGAAGTATTTTGAGAGCGTGGGAGATCTTCATGGGAATGGGTGGAGGCGTGGAGCTAAAGATTGATTGATTGATTGATTTTATTTTGACCACTTAAATATAAAAAATATGAAACAGTATAAAACTGTGTCATACATTAAAAAAAATACATACAAAGAGCTCTTTTGGCGCTGTTTGCTTGTTTTGACTGATTGGTGGAATTTTCTGTAGCATCATGGGTAATGTAGTTTTTCACCGAAAACTCCACTGCTAAACACGGTAATTTTAACAATATTAAAAATAATGCAGGATCACGGCTTCAAAAGCATATACATCTACTAGTCGATTAAAGTCCCCCTGTAATATATATTTTTTTATCCCTTAAAAGTCATCTTTGATCACCAAAATGCCTTCTAAAAACCAGTATCCTTAGAAACGTTATGAACAACTCAGAAGATCAGTGAGTGGAGAAAGTCATTTAGTTCATCATAACATACATTATATACACAATTCACCTGCTATATTGCAAAAATGTTCATGTCAACAGAAAAACATACAGAGATAAACTAAACTGGATTCTCTTGAGACTCCCTTTCTTCACGGCATAGTTAATAAAGTGACGTAAGACACACGGGCGATTTCAAACCACGTTTTTGAGACTGTCTTTGGTTCACTGGAGTTTTAAGGAGAAAATACTCAGCAATAGTGTTAACTTATGAATTTGCACATGATTTGTCTTAAAGCATATTAAAAAACACCACATAGACATACTGTATAAACAACATTAAAAACTTGATTTTCACTACAGAGGGTCTTTAACAACCTTGTAGTTCACAGTATAAGTTATCATCACTAAAATCAATTTTTACTTCCGGAACCTGACTGTTGAACTCAATAAAAGATCATGGATATTGATTTTCAAATAGAGACAAAGAACAGAATAGATTTTACATAAATGAGGGTATAAAAATGTAGAAGGTGAAATTGAGTGTCGTTCAGTAAAATAAAGAAAGGTATAAAAACCCTTCTTTTCTATTTCAATGAAGTGAAGCTCTTTTCTTGCATTGTCTGGCTTCAAGCAGGCATTTTTGTTCTCAGTTCACTGACGGATTGTATCTTTTATAATACACCCTATAAATCAACGAACGTGGCAGGAGGCACTTCTTGCGGTGTTAGTGTGATAAATGACTGTGACAAGGTGAACATAATAACTGTACAAAATGTTAAGAATCCTTCTTGAGGATGTCAGGGAAAAGTTGACTGCAAAAGCACATACCTTGAAAATGAAAGTTTGTTATTTCTGCACCACTAGTGGCACCAAAAAGAATTGCAATTTGTTAATCATTAATTATTCATCTCTGAAGGTGACATTCTGCTTTAGAAATAATAATAAAAGTCAAATAATTTATGCAAGTTACTTTACCCGTGAAGAATGTTGCTTCCAACTGAATGCACAGTGGTGACATTATTGGGTGCTATTTTTAAAGACCCACCAAATGGCATAATTTATGGGTAAACCTGATTGTGAAAAAAAATCTGTAAAACAATAAGGTTTTCTCTTCGAGACATTAACCTACAGATAACTTACTTGTCTCTGCATATGAATTTAGGATGCACAACATCGGATCTGTCCGATATCGGTAACCACATAAAATATGATGCATACATTCACTTGTAGTTTTTAGTGTTTTTGTTTTTTTTGACAACAGTATAGAATTTTAGTCTTCTGTTTATCGATTATAAGCCATAACTTGTCATATAATTTGAGATAAAAAAGACAATTCCCTCCAATAATATTCACCCCATTCACTGCGGTGCACAATCCATGTTGTGGATAAGCAGCAGGGAAGCGCTCAGCATGGAGTCCTAATCACCCTGCATTAGGCACAGATAAGGGTCCAAATTTGATCTACATCTGAAGCAACAACTGGGCCAATACCCTGTGATGCTTTTGCAATGCAGCTGACCTGGAAACAGTCCTCTCTTCCATCTCGGTACCACACGCAGGGAGTCCCAACTGCTCCGGGACAGAGATCTCCTATTGAGAGATCCCTCCATTTATATTCACATACATCTGGGGTGACAAAATGCATTTCAGGATGTGTGCATCGCCTCACACAGCGAGGAGTTGTTCCAGCCAACTTGCTAAAAAAATGACACTCAATCATCACAGCAATGACTCGCTCTTAAGAGTGCCAATCTTAATATATTTATTGGTGGTCGCTGGTGCAGATAGAGTTTAAGACCTGTCTTAATTCCTATAGTAGGTTAAATTTAGCACAAATTCAGAATCTGGGCCACACTGCCTCATCGGTGAGAACAGAGCTCAAACAATCAGGAGGAGGGAAGGAAACGAAACCAGGAAAGAATTGACAAAATAATACAAATATGATCAAAATACACTTATGGTGAAATTGTGCGTTTCTGAGAGCTTTATTAGATACATTTGATGTTTTCTAGTAAAAATCTGGCATAACCAAAACCTGTATATATTGTAACAAAAGGTGTCTATTTTGAATAAATGCTGTTCTTTTTAACTTTTTATTCATCAACGAATCCTGAAAAAAATATCACAGGTTCCAAAAGAATATTAAGCAACTGTTTCCAACATTGATAATAACTGAGTATCAAATCAGCATATAAGAATGATTTCTGAAGGATCATGTGACACTTAAGACTGGAGTAATGATGCTGAAAATTCAGTTTTGCATCACAGAAATAAATTATACTTTAAAGTATATTAAAACAGAAAACCATTATTTTAAATTGTAATAATATTTCACAATATTACAGGGTTTTTTCGGTATTTTTGATTAAATAAATGCAGCCTTGATGAGCATCTATATACACTCACCGGCCACTTTATTAGGTACCCCATGCTAGTAACGGGTTGGACCCCCTTTTGCCTTCAGAACTGCCTCAATTCTTCGTGGCATAGATTCAACAAGGTGCTGGAAGCATTCCTCAGGGAGTTTGGTCCATATTGACTTGATGGCATCACACAGTTGCCGCAGATTTGTCGGCTGCACATCCATGATGCGAATCTCCCGTTCCACCACATCCCAAAGATGCTCTATTGGGTTGAGATCTGGTGACTGTGGAGGCCATTTTAGTACAGTGAACTCATTGTCATGTTCAAGAAACCAATTTGAAATGATTAGAGCTTTGTGACATGGTGGAAGTAGCCATCAGAGGATGGGTACATGGTGGCCATAAAGGGATGGACATGGTCAGAAACAATGCTCAGGTAGGCCGTGGCATTTAAACGATGCCCAATTGGCACTAAGGGGCCTAAAGTGTGCCAGGAAAACATCCCCCACACCATTACACCACCACCACCAGCCTGCACAGTGGTAACAAGGCATGATGGTTCCATGTTCTCATTCTGTTTACGCCAAATTCTGACTCTAACATCTGAATGTCTCAACAGAAATCGAGACTCATCAGACCAGGCAACATTTTTCCAGTCTTCAACTGTTCAATTTTGGTGAGCTCTTGCAAATTGTAGCCTCTTTTTCCTATTTGTAGTGGAGATGAGTGGTACCCGGTGGAGTCTTCTGCTGTTGTAGCCCATCCGCCTCAAGGTTGTGCGTGTTGTGGCTTCACAAATGCTTTGCTGCATACCTCGGTTGTAACGAGTGGTTATTTCAGTCACTGTTGCCCTTCTATCAGCTCGAACCAGTCTGGCCATTCTCCTCTGACCTCTGGCATCAACAAGGCATTTCCGCCCACAGAACTGCCGCTCACTGGATGTTTTTTCTTTTTCGGACCATTCTCTGTAAACCCTAGAGATGGTTGTGCGTGAAAATCCCAGTAGATTAGCAGTTTCTGAAATACTCAGACCAGCCTTTCTGGCACCAACAATCATGCCACGTTCAAAGTCACTCAAATCAACTTTCTTCCCCATACTGATGCTCGGTTTGAACTGCAGGAGATTGTCTTGACCATGTCTACATGCCTAAATGCACTGAGTTGCCGCCATGTGATTGGCTGCTTAGAAATTAAGTGTTAACGAGCAGTTGGACAGGTGTACCTAATAAAGTGGCCGGTGAGTGTATATATACTGTATATATATATATATTTTACTTCTTGAGTAAATTTATTTTTTATTTTTAAGGAGGTTTTGATATTATTTACAGGAAAACAAGAAAAAAGTACTGATCAAGAAAATTATTTTAAACAATTTGCAGTGCAGACTGTCAGCCTGTCCATGGCCATATGAATTATATGAATCAATAAGTTCCATCCCTCTCAAAAAGTTGCCTTTAAGGAAATAATTTTTAATGAAGCCTTTTTAAATAAACATGCATTTGAAGGTTCCAATCAACTAGTTCCAATCAACTACATTTTCAGCGTGTTAATACTTACAGATGAAGTGGAATACACCACTGACAGCATCTGTTCAAAAACTATACGCTCCATCACACTGTGCAGACCTATTGTTAATGAAGAGCCTTGTTTTCTCACAGTGTGAAGTGCTCCTGCTGGCTGATACTCTTTTCAAAGACGTGCTTTCTGCTGTCGTGTCTAAGGGGAGTTTAGATACACTAATAGGAATTCTGTGTTGTTCTCACAAAAGTGCTGTGTGGGAGGGAAAGATGATGACATGTCATGCTATTTCATACGCTAAAAATAACACTGGTCACTCTAGTCTAGTCTAGTGTAAGTTATAGTGGGGATTCGAATGTAGGTATCTGGTGGTCAGCATTAAAGGGCAAACCTGGTATTAATGAAACATAATAAACGAGCAAAAATGGCTGAGGACATCTAGCATCTTACCTGACTACTCCCTGCGTGTTTCTCAGGACAGAAGCAGCGAAGCTCTGAGTTACTCCCACCAGACTGGTGCCGTCAACCTCCACGATCTGATCGTTCACCATAATTCTGTGGAAAATGAAGGTGGATATGTTTTAACACTTGTTACAGTGACACTAGGACATTGTGCAATCTCTAAAACAGGTTTGTATAATAGTATTTCAATCAGGACAACTCGCAAAATAGACTTAGAATGTTATTGAATATGGCAATGTTAATGTATTTGGTCTTGTCGGACTAGATCTGCTGCTGATTATTGCTGCTGTAGAGCAAGTATGAACTTGCTACTGCTAATAGATACACAGACTGTGAGCATGTAAGATGTGCTGCTGCTGTTTCATAAATAAACATACATAAATCCCATAGCTGATCTAGGCAGGTGGAGCTGGGGGAGGTGGAGGGTTTCAGAGGAACTACAGCAAACACTGAATTAGACAATTGAAATGTTGAGCGAGCAATCTCATTGGCTGTAGGATCAGCAGAGGCCAATCAGCTTGTGCCATGCGGTAATGATGTGATTGCTTGCAGATTGAATGTAAAGGATCTCTCAATATTTGGGCTGGGTATCGATTCAGATGTTCAAATTCGATTCGATTTCGATTCACAAGCTCACAGTTCGATTCGATTTAGATTCTCGATTCGACTATAATGAATATAGATGTAATACAAATCTCAGTCTAAATATCAGTTATCATTTTTTAGACAATTTTTTATTACATTGATCTCACCTAAATGTTTGTTTTTACAATGGGGTAATTTTTTTGTTAAGTGTTTATGCAACACATGGAAGCTTGATTTCAATCTTTGAATTAAATTGAAAAAAGTAGCACAAATAAATACAATAGAATAGGCCTAAAGACACAAATAAAGAGACATAAAAAGAAAAGTTTTTGGGTAGGTCAGAAATACTACAGAAACTGAATAAAGTAATCCAATGTAAAATAACACTGGATAGTCTTTTAGTCCTGACTGAATTAAATACATAGGCTATTAATTCTGATTCCTTACAATTAATGCTATATTATGTTGTTTTGACAACAAAATTAATGACAGACACATATGGATGCGTTCACTTTAAGAACTAGTGCGCGGATCCATTACTGTTTCATTATACTGTCTGTCACTGCGCGGATCCATTACTGTTTCATTATACTGTCTGTCACACGCGTTTTATGCTTATTTAAGACATAACCGACTGTCTTTACGAGGTTACTCACCAAGACCAGAGTCATTTTGCGTGTTTTTAACTATTAAAGCGATATAATCCACGAAAAATAACTTTTGTTACTGGCAAGCTGTTTGTGAGGCGGATTTAGGCTTTAATGCATGTGCACGCAATGAAAAACATGCGCGAGTGCGCGAGCACAGGATAGTTTAAAATTGCTTGAATGTTTAAACTGGTAAAACTTAAAAAAGACGTGAAAATGATAAACGTTAGTTACGATGCAATGCTGGCCTGATTGTGCAAGTGAATCATGTCCCGACTCCTAAACACGAGAGTGTATCGACGCCTGCAGCGCTTGACGCTTGGCTTGTGCAGAGTGAGAAGACGCAGCACCGCGAGCCCTGAATATGGAAAAAATCGATTCGTGGCTGTTGAGAATCGATTTTGAATCGACCACATTTTAAAAAACGATTAATCAAAAAATAGATTTTTTTTCCCAGCCCTACTCAATATGACATCATATTGCTCAGAAAACCCAAATGGCTTGATTATTGAGAGTGTTTAGGCTTTTTGAGGATAAAAAAAGGAGTGAATGGATTTTTTTCATTATATGGTGGTTGTGTCCACACACTGCAAAGACACATTTATATGCAAACACCATATAAAAGTGAATTTTGCATCCGATGACCCCTTTAAAGTCTCAGAGAATACTTCAAGCAAATAATTTAGGTCACATGGCTTAAAAGGGACAAAAAGGTTAGAAACCCCTCTTTTACAAGTATGAACAGTATTTTCATGTTTTCAGACTTGCTGGTCACATTCTTTCATTTCAGAAGCTAAAGAATAATGCTCACAAGACAGAAGGAATTACAATCATAGCATAGGATTACAAAGACGAGTAAGCTCCTTATAACAACATGTGATAATATCAATTTCAGAATGCTGCAGTGTTTGCATGAAGAGCTCCAACGGTGTGATATCTGTAATGAGCTTTGTGAGTTTGACCAAATTGCTTTGACCCTTGATTCCTGTCTGGATATCGAGCTCGTGGCAAATCTCGTCTGTTATGCTGGCAAAGCAGACGGAGAGAGACGCTTGCAAGATTGAATCCTAATGTGCACCTTGACGTTCACATACATTTTGCAATCTCGCCAATGAATTAATACTGAAAGCATGAAATAAGTATTCCTCTATGCAAGGACTTTAGTGCAAAGATTTCAATGTCGCTGTCAAATCCTCCATTGTTACACTGTGCACAGAAACAGCCTTAATGGTTAATGGTGGAGGAAATTTCATTCTGGCTATTGAATGGTCCTTTTGAAACCTGATTGCAAAGCATAGAGTTGCTTGGTAATCTTGAAAGTTTGAAACAAGTAACATTTCTCAGGATTTCAGCAGGGTTTGATGCCACTCAGCAAACCGCACAGTGCAGTCCAACAGTCTGAGGCCACATTTAAAGTCTGGGATTCAGAATTTTAGTCTATCACTGCTTTCTATGTGCAGTTTAGTTTACCTTCCATCTCTCTCGGCTGCTCCACCCTCTATGACCGTCTTGACGAAGATGCCCAGCTTCTCCAGTCCTGCGTCAGCACCAACCCCCATTCCTATAATACTGATGCCCAGGCCATCCTCATCTGACATACACAGATGAACATACACAAATCAGTGAAAGGAAAAGCATTAGTGGTGAGCAAATGGAAAGAATAACAATTCAATAAATCATTGGATGGATGCATATTATGCCTGATCAATATTCAAGGCTTACCACTGATTTCACAGCGCACACAATACACAGATACATACAGAACATTTCCCTGAAAACCTATTCGTATCTATATTGTTTTTTATGTAAAACAATTATAGAGGAAACCGGAGCTAGTTGTCACAAGGGCTATAGTGTATCTCAGTAACCATAAGGTTTTGAGTAAAAACAGACTGAAAAATAACTTGAGTGAAAAGTGTGATGACTAGACCCAGTGTCGCTTATCATGAAAACTATCCGAAACTTTCAACCTCAGGGAAATCTCTTTTGTGACCCTGACATCAAGGGCTTGACATTAACACCTGCCAAATGTGGTTTGATTTCAGCAGTCACTCCTACTAGCCACTTTGGCAGGTTGAATTTTATAATACACTTTTCTTAATAGTAGTCTTTTAAAATAGCATCTAAAATAATAAACTAAGTGTAATGTAATGTTATCAAAAATATCGATTTTTCGATACATATCGATACTGAAATATATGTAATCCTTCCAATGCTTATTTTCCACAGAACAGATATGGATATTAGCTGCACTTTCTCTCTCTCTCATCTCTCCGACAGCGAGTTACACAAACCCTCCTCCCCCCACTCGTTTCATTTGTGGACTGGCGTGGGATTGCGAGTATTGCGTATAATCTTCCTCATTCCCACAGATTTTGTGCTCACACTCCATCACCTATCAGTACTAAATTGAGTTATTTTTTGCTGCTTATTGCATTAAACAGTCAAATACACACACAATAATGTCAAAATTCATGTGGCAAGTATTCACGTAAGCACAGTTAGTTATGTTTTAAGTGAACAAACAATTGAGGGGAAAAAAAACTGCACGTGTAACAGTATGCGTCCGGTCTTAAAGTGACAGCAGCTTACTATTCCTGTTGCCAAATTATGAGATAATATTAAAAATATCTCTATGGCAGTTTTTCCCCATGGTATCGATGTCAAAAGTATGGCCAGTGAAAATGCTTAGTGGATAGTAACTTTGGAAAAGCACTAGCCACAGTGGCTGGTGAGCGAATGTGAAGCCCTGCTGCCATCACCGCTATTATTCACCTTTTTCCAGTTCCACAGGGAGAAGTTCCAGCTTCTCAACCCGTTTCTCCAGCTCATACTCAGCTGAGGACGCCACCGGGTCTACCTCTTCATTACGCCGGTCATAATCTTCATTGCAGTAGGTTTTGAACACCTGGGAGCCAGAAAAAGTCAATATCACGTTACTGTGGTGAGGTCACATGACTAAAACAGCTGTGTGAAGCCAAATTTGTCATTGTTAGAAAAGAGAGAGTATGAGAATGATTATTAGTTCATTGGGGAAAAAAATGCTTGTATATATACAGTATATAAATTCACCCTTTATCCAAGTATTATCAATAATTTGTTAAAGATTTTGTAAGCATATTGCTAGTTGTGCTTGAAGTCAATAGTTGTATTTGTGATAACGCAATGAAACATGACCAATTTTTTACCAGACAGTCCGAACAAACGAAATATTAATAACTGATTATGTTGTAGTCAATGTATGCTTTTTCCTGTGAGCTTTTTGTTTTTCTATGCGTTTATTTTTCATAGTGAAATAAAACCTCTAGCTGTAGTTTGTAGGGGTTTTTTTGCCAAATAATTTTGTCAGATAAATACCTTAATGAAGTGTTAACTTAGTGTTTTGTTCCTCCCTCCCATATTTTAATGGTTTAATCAAACTAGTAGGGTCATTAAAAACAAATATCCCCTCCAGACATCACTTTCAGCCACTACTCTATATATAGTGAGACAGCATGTGATCAATGAAGTTGTGGGCACTGGGCAATGTCTCGGGTTACATCAGAGCATCTTCATAACAGTGCTTATCGACTAAAACACAAACTGCCTTCTCCTCAGCGTAATTGAAGGTCTTGTGCACCGTGGTGTGAATGGACAGTCACCCACAACTGTGTCCCCTAAACAAGTTCTCGGACAAACAATTGCCCCATGCATGCCAACATGCCTACCTGTGTCCTTACTAAAAGTGTTCACTGGTGTCTTTCATTTTAAAAGAATAAACTTCCTCAGGATGTCACAGTCATGTTATGTTTGGTTTCATTGTCTTGTTCTGTTCATTTCTAGTCATGGTTTTCTTTGTCACTGTGTTCTAGTTAATGATTAGATGTCATGGTTTCTAGTCCTCACCTGTTTCCCGTTTCATTAATGATCTTCCTTTGTGTATTTAAGCCCTCAGTTTTCCTCAGTTCTTGGTTCCACGCTAACATGATTTATCGTTCATTCTGCATCACGCATCTGTCTTGTGGATTTACTACACACTCACTTTTACACAGGCAAGTACCTCAGTTAATATAGAAATGATGAAAGAGAAATGGTAAGAATTTCAAGATCTGTGTTTTTAAGCTGGCCCCACAACGGAAATGCTTACATTGTACATGCTACAATTCAAGGTTTTGGGGGATTTTTAAAAATGTTTTTGAAAGAAGACTCTTAGGCTAACCAAAGCTACATTTATTGGGAAATATTATTACAATTTAAAATAACTTCCATTGTTTTTAATATTTTCTAGTCTTCAGTGTCACATGATCCTCCAGAAATCATTCTAATATGGTGATTTGTGCTGCAATGGTTTTATTTATTTATTATAATCAATGTTGAAAAAAGTTGTGCTGCTTAATATTTTTGTGTTTTTTTTTTGGTAGTATTCTTGGTTAAATAAACAGTTCAAAAGAACAGCATTTATTTAAATGAAATATAAATAACATGAGACGTATGCTGTTGCGTCTCCTGTGCCTTCATTGTTTGGATTACCATTGGCCTCATATCTGGTTTATCCTTGTTTGTATGTTCTTGGAATAAAGATCCTCTCCTCTGCTATACCCGTGACACCGACAGTCCATCTGCCACCATGAGAATCATCTGCTACAATTAAACCATGACTGATCATAGCAGAATCAAAGCCATCTCATCTGTGAAGGAAACAAATTGGACTCAAACCTGACGTTTTATGCTAATCACAAGCATAAACCAATGTGTCCAAGTCGTATGTGGTAGGAAGCGCTCTGAAACCAGAACGCAGGGACTAAAGCAAGCATAATCTCTAGTGCACTTTACAACATCAATAATGTAAACTGATCAACAGCTATGCATTATTTAACAGTCACACTGCTGACCAAATGATTAGCTGATGTGTAATGAGCCCTTTGTCCACATTCCTTCCATGGTCTTGATGAAAATCATATTGGCAGAAAGGGCCAGATAGTGAGGCTGCAGCCTTGAAGATAGTAACTATAAAGATGTGAAACTTGTTGAAAGAACTACCATAAAAGTCCTTACAGCTGCACTAAAGTGCATAGCTCATATAATCCATCGCCAGCTTTTATGCCCCAGTTACAGACTCTTATGCAGGGGCCAGGAGGGCAGAAATACAAACGCATTCCCTTGCGCACAGATCTAACCTGAAAGTGAGGACATTTCCAGAAACATCCATCTCTACAGTCAGTGGATCTGTTCCAGAGCTTCCCTCACACACTGTTCTCCTGAGCTCAACCAACTATCACAGTGTTGACAGTCCACAGCTGGCTAAAAATGGCTCAACAACCGACTGTCTTTTGTGAATCTGGCAGACACGACAAGCATGAGGTGCTCTACGCAACAGACACAGTGTGGGCAGTGTGTGCTGAAGGCTACTGTCAGGTCTGACGTGCCGTGGGAGAACATAATTCACATCTTCTATTATATTCATTATAGACATACTGCATATAGCTGTCCAGGAGACTTTGTTTTGTTTTAATATCATTACATGGTCTTATAGACTCAAATATTTGTCATCAAGTGCCAAAAGCCAGTAAACATTGGCTTTGATAAATAAATAAAATACAGTAGGACAGTACATTTTTAATGACATAAAACATTTCAAAAGTCATTCAATTTAAAGACATACAGTACAAATTAAAGAATAGATTAGTGGCTATTGTGTATCTATTACTTATTTGGTGACCTAAATTTCTGCAGTAAAACAAAACTAATTTAAAACGAACAAAATAACTGGATCACAACACATTTGTGACTATCTGTCATATATAAACTAAAAAAATCACTGCCATTTTTTTTAAGTGTAAAGGCAAAAATATATGGAGATGGTTCCAATTTGTTTTTAGAAAATAAAATTCAAGCATTTAACTTCAGATCCGGTATGAAAAGCATCAGTGGTTTCAATTATAAATCTGCCAGTTGATTATATAAAAACCCACTTCACAGAAAAGAAAACACCAATAACTTTTAGCTGTTTATTGTACTTTAGTAGTGCAGCCTTTCAAGCTGAATCTTTTGGCTTCGGTCCGACTAACAGCGATACTTTTCTTGAATCTCCTTGTGTATCTTGATCTAGTAATATTGATTCGGCCCACTCCAGTCACCTCTCAGTCATCAGCCTCACCTTCAGCGTTTAGATCAATACACCTGTTAGCTGCCTTCAAACAATGGCAGAACATCTCGTTTGTCTTCTCATCTCTATACATATCTCACTCGCTGCAGTCTTATATTTAAAACCCAGCAGCCTGCGAGCTCTTTAGCTCCAACTGCTACCTTGCATAATAGCCAAGAAATGTAAGCTTGTATAAGCGCTTTCCTGTTCGGAGAGCACTTTAAGTTTTTATTGCATGTTCTGAGATTCCGCCAAAGGCTCTGAGAGCTAATTTTTCTCGGCAACGAGTGAATTTGCACAGAACTGCAGGGATGAGTGAAACCGAGCCAGGCCCATAATCCATCCCTCTACTCCCACTCTTATTACTTCATTATCCGTCTCGTCGCTCATCCTTCTTTGTGTCACTGCACTTCTAGCGGAGCAGCCATGGCTCATCAGTGTGCATATTACACCAGCTGCATCGTGGGTAACTGCAATGCTTGTGGGGAACCGAGGGGAAACGGGGAGGGTGGAGAAGAACAATCGACTGAAAGTGTTTGTCGGCATTTGTATCCTAGGCTGGCAATGGTGCTGCATGGCTCAGAGTCAGGCCGACTACAACTGATCGCATTAAATGGCCCTACAGTCAGGCAGTGCCAGCGCTTTCAGTGTCAACACACACACACACACAGCTCTCTCCCAGAGGGACAGCCAAGCTGATGCCGAGTGGATTAATCATGCGACACAGAGGCAAATCTGCAGACACACATTCCTGTACTATTCTCTGAAAACAGGTTGCTGCTGCAAAATGAGCTGTTTGCCAAAGTCGAATTAACTTTCTTTCTATCATATCGTTTAGAAATGCATTCAAATATGAACTATGGGCAAATGTGCGCCAGTGGAAAAACTCCAGTAGGAATATATGCATCAAAGTTGTTGTTTTTTTTCATAACAAATGTCATTTCCATCTCAAAGCATTATGGAAATTACATCTCAAAATAACGACATTAAATATATATTTTTTAAATATTTGTCTTGCTAATGCTCTTTCCATATAGCTAGCAGCTGAATACATACAGTAAATAATATTTTCACGTTTTGCATTATTTGACTAAATTTGGAAATGACACATAATAAAAATGTCCTGTTTATTAGTAATTATTATCGTTTTTTTGTTGTTGTTGATCATATGTTGTGTAAAAATTTATATGCCGTCAAAAAGTTTGGGGTCAGTGAGATTTTAGTTTAAGAAATTAATACTTATATTCAGCAAGCACGCATTAAATTGGTCAAAAGTGACAGGAAACACATTTACCAAAAAAATCCAAACAATTTCTATTTCACATAATGATGTTACTTTGAAATACATAAATCAAAAAATCCTGAAAAATTGTAGCAACATTTATAATACTAATAAATGATAAATGTCTTGAGCAGCAAATCAGCATATTAGAATGATTTCTGAAGGATCATGTGACACTGAAGACTGGAGTAGGGATGCTGAAAATTCAGCTTTGATCGCAGAAATAAATGACATTTTAAAATATATTATTAAAATATATATTTAAATTGCAATAATATTAATCAAATAAATGCAGCATTGGTGAGAAGAAGATACTCAAAAACATTTAAAAATTCTTACCGACCCCACAGTTTTTAATGGCAACGGTACTATAAAGTCTTTTCACAAGATACACATTAAAATTACAAAATAATAAATAAAATCTAGATATAAAAGACATTTGAAAGTGGAAAAAATCAATGATGAAAATGTTTCTAATTATGTTTTAAAAAGCTGACCTAAA